GAGACAAAAGTCGCAGTCGCAACATTCCCCACGATCCGCGATGCAGCAGCCGCAGCTTCGCAAGTGATACGCGCTGCCGTTCCTGTTGCCGCAATGGAGATAATGGACGACGTTCAAATGTCAGTAATCAACCGCGCAGGGGGCACCAACCGGACGTGGAAAGAGGTGCCCACCATCTTCTTCAAATTCTCAGGCACGACGGCGGGGGTGCAGGATAATATCAAGATCACCACTCAGATCGCGAAGAAAAACAAGGGTGGTGATTTCATCTACGCAAAGGATGAGCGAGAGGCGCATGATTTGTGGAAGGCCAGGAAGGATTCCTTGTGGAGCATGCTCTCTTTGCGCCGGGAGGGCGACGAAGTCTGGTCTACCGACGTCGCGGTCCCAATCTCACGGTTGCCCGATATTGTGGGTAAGCAATCCCCCCGGAAAGACTCCTCGAATCGAGGGGCACTGTCTAAATTAACAAACGAGGACAGAAATTACAAAGAAAGAAATCGACGATCTGGGCCTTTTTGCAAGTGTCCTTGGGCACATTGGAGATGGCAACTTCCACACATCCGTCTTATATAACCGCAAGGATCCAAAGGAGAGGGAGCGCGTCGAGCAGGTCGTTCATAACATGGTCGACCGAGCTCTTGAAATGGTATGTCTGAACCTGCTCATGACCAGGCCCCCATCCATCCATCCATCCACCCACCCATCCATCCCTCCAGGAAAAAGAGAGGACACCCTTCCACGCTAACGTTTTGCCCTACAGGAAGGCACATGTACCGGCGAACACGGCATCGGGCTAGGCAAAAAGCAAAGCCTCATTGACGAACTAGGCCTCGAGACCATCGGCGTGATGCAGACTCTTAAGCGCAGCCTCGACCCGCACTGGTTGATGAATCCGGGAAAGATCTTCGACCCCGTCAACGCCGAGAATACCACGAGTCAGCCGGAAACCACGGCTGCTTCGACCTTGGAGAGGCCGAAGGGCAAATCTTGAAGGACAACCAAAGGCAAAGTCGAAGGCAAAGGAAAGGGGTAGTATGGACCTGCAGAGGGTGTGCGCAGGTTTCCTCCTGCGTTTTCGTGATTTGAGTCTGCTCTTCCCTTGAGAGGCGAGGGCAGGCGAGCCGAGGAAACATTCATATCCTCCATGGGTTCCGTCGCATATGCATCTCCGGATTGACTGCACTGCGTACGGCCCGGACAGAGCTATCCGAAAAACAAAATACTATTCTGCCAGGATAATCCTGATCAAGCTTGCCGTGGTCGTCTATCAGCACGAGCATGACGGTATGCTCTTGTTTGTTGTTTGCTCGCTTGATTGGGTACATTACAAGCAGGGTGTCCGTCCCCAAGGCAAATCCACATGGGACAACGTTATTACTTTTCGGTAAAGATGTCGTCGTTGTTCCCACCTTGCCTGCCGACTGCCACTTCCAATTTCTGTTGTCTGTTGGCCGTGGTGCCGTTATAAGATTAGATCGATTTGTTGTGCCGCGTTGGTCTCGGCTCAAATCCATCATCCATCAATCACGTATCTCTTCTGTCTCGCACATGACTTTTAATCCTCATCTCCTCTATCATCACCATCCATTTGAGTGTCCCCGCTTCTCAAAGCCAATTTGCTGGCTTCGTTCCTCAAAGCATTCTCCATTCCCTGCTCCCTCGAGGTAAGGCCGATGCGCGCGGTATGGATCCCGTCTCGACGGCTACCCGCCAAAGAGCCGTGCGGCCTTCCGAGAGATGACAGCGTACGCCTGCCGGCTCTAGCCATTGGCAAATGGGCTGGCTGGTGCATTTCAGATTGTGCGGGAGCTGTCGGCTTTCTGGCTTGTCCTTCGTTTTCGCTAGGGCCGAATCAAAATCCTCAGGAATCGTGCGCCGTCGGCGTCCGTTCCATGTACCCAACAAGTCGATAGGACGACAGTGTCCTAATTTCGAAAGCTAGATGGAGACGGTCAAGATGCATCTCGATTATAGAAGAGGTGGCTGACTTCGTTCATGGCTGGTACGCATGCATCGCTACAGACTGACAGGTTGCAAAGGCCCAATCATCCGCCAAAGAACGATTTCTCGAGCCTTCTGGTAAAATTGACACAGGGGATATCGACGGCTCTGAGGAAGACATCTGCTGCCCAGATGACGGCCAGGACAATCACGATCGACGACTTCAGGAACTCGAGCTGGAACTGTCTCATTATCTCCGGCGTTTCCACCTCGGGCGTTCGTGGTAGAATCTGAATTCAGAGAGATTAGTTTCAAGTTGCACGGGATGTATTGAAGAGGAGGATCGTTCACATACCAAGTAGCCCAAGGTGTGGATAACAGGGCCGTGCATGACGTACAGAGGAAAGCTGATCTTCCCCAGATACTGAACCGGGCTCCAACAGAAGGCCTTGTTCCGCCAAAAGCCCAGGCGCGATGATGACCAGACGATCATCACGGCACCGATATTCGGCCAGAAGCGATGCTTTTGTGTGAAGTTGGCGGGGATAAGGTTGGTTAGCGTGAGGTATCCTGGTGTGGCGTGGGCGTCGATGTCGGGGAAGGAGAGCAGGTAAAGCGAAATGCAGAAGGTCGACCAATACAGGATCTTGGATGACAATCTGGGTTTGTAAGGTTGACTGTTTGCGACTAATGGCAGCTCAGACGCTTTGGAGGTCCAAATAATATCCAGCTCGGCAATCACCGCCCCAGCCCAAAAGGGACACAATTCCCATCTGTCCCAAGAGGTGCCCCAGATAATCAACACCAAAAGAGTCGAGAGTCTCAGCCGGGAAGACATCCTCGCGACCATCATATGCGTCAAGAACAAGGCCATGCTGCATCGAAACTCGACGGGAATGGTCCACAGGTGCCGATCAAGCTCTATGGATCCGGCAAAAATGTTCCAGTTGAAGACATCCACGAAGATGAGGATCTGCACTAGGTAATCGGTGAATTGCAGCCAGGGGTTGGGTTGAGTGTAACAGTGGCTCTCGTGAATATTGCGCATCTGGTTGGCAAAACCTTCGGTGAGTTTGTACAAGTTGAGTTGGGCAAGACAGATGACGATGAAGGTCGAAGCGAAGCAGGGTAAGAACAGTCGCAATCCCCGTCGAAAAATAGACGAACTCATCGTCGTCATCAACTGTTCCTGTTGCCGCGACCGCATCAGTTTCAACGGCTTGTAGCTGAGTGCATAGCCAGAAATGACGAAGAAGATGGCGACCATTGGAGGGCCAGAATAGAGAAGGCGGACAATGGGTAGGCGCAGATATTCCCCGAACACGGATGTTGGTTGGTGTTCGGGGTCCGGAGTGGCGCCCCACGCGTGAGCGATATCAAAAGTGCCATATGTGAGATGACAGATGAAGACCACGAAGGCCGCAAGTCCGCGCATGCCATCGAGAAACGCTGTTGGAGCGATTTTGTCTGGTTTGGCCTGGTCGTTGTGGGAGCGGCGCTGGAGAAAGCTCGGCATAAGGAGGTTGAACAGTTGACCAAGGAGTCTTATAAGGTATCGAACAGACAAGCACAATGTAATCTTTGGGACAAGGCGAGAGGAACCGATCTTGGTCCAAAGACTCGTCGTCGTCTTTTGTCCATTGGAATTGAATCCGTGCTTCTCGTTCATCAATCCGACCTGAGATCCATCTGAACTGGACCGCGAGGAGCCAGTCCTCGACGAGTTCATGATTTGCGGCCAAAGTGGGGTATGTATCCGCATTCAAGCGAGGATGATGCAGAGGAGACACATCGAGGAGTGACGTGTTCGCTCTGAAGAAGATCCCTTGAAGGCGAGGTGAAGGATGGGGTAACAAGGAGTGAAAAAACCAAAATCACCAAAAAGAGGCTCTTTCACAACACGACACTCCGGCAGACACCAAACACGGGGCCGCCGCCCAACAATAAACACTATTTTTGAATTTTTCAGGAACAAGGGGCCAGTCCATACGGCCATCACTCTGCAACTTCTGTTTTGCTTGGTGGATCCTTTTTCTCCACAAATTGCCCACAAAATCTACGCGGATGAGGCCAATCCTCTTTAACTTTGGCACCGTCTTCTGAAACATGATCATCCCACTGCACGAACTGCTGGGATACTGCTCGGCGTTGGGACATGGCAAAGGGCCAGCGACGCAGCGTTATCGACACTGTCAAGTGAACTCACTGTCTAGGGCCTCGAGCGATGCTAAATGACACTGGAGACAATCTTGCGCTCGAGACACAAGATTAAGAGAAAAGGGATGACAGAGTGTCACAACGGGGAAAAGGAGGTGGCGTTTTCCGGGGTCGATTGCGCCAGGTTATGAGTGGATCTGGTACCCAGTACCTCCTAGGCCGGTCGAGATTCCATCGACGTGGCTATGTGGATGCCAGGGAGTCTTCCGACAAACACCTACTGAGTACCTGGTAAGGCGCACGTCAAAAAAACAAAAGCATCTCATCAACTCCCAAGTACATTGACTTGGTTTGGAGGATCATTTAGCCTGACAACGCCAAGCAAGGCTTCCAGTGCTTCGACCTAAAAGGCAGGTCTACCGAATTGCCCAAAATAAGAGGAATGTTGTCTCAGTTCTCAGATCCATCGGCTCAGTTGCCTTAAACGGACAGGCCCCACTGTTTGGCGGAGCACGACGCCTTCACGAGCAACATCCTTTGAATTTTGTGATTGGCCAGCGCTTTGGCTAGCCTAGCCAATCAGGGCGGAGTCCCGACATCGGGTCTGGGGACTGAGACAAAAGGAAATTCCTCGAGCTTCACTGTCAAGGCATCGATGCAATGGCGCAAAAAGATACAATCTTTTCATATATACATGTTCTTTGATCCATCTACCTGTAAGACCATGTTCCCACAATCGTATGCCACAAGGTATTGTCCATGAGTGTACACAACCCGCCTTGACACCGGAAGACCAGCGTGTTTCCATCCAGAAATATTTGCAGCGCCCCTTTGATCCCACCGAGCATGGGAAATGAAACACTCCATCCCACATCTCCTTATTGCCCCTCTGTCCGGAATCAAACCCCATGAACAACCTGTTCGATGATGTCTGTCTCGACAATAGGGCCGTTGTATCGGCCCCGGAGGTATCCGAAATAGCTGACCACGCCAATGATCATGGTTCCACCCCATAACAGGCATGACCAGTTCATGGTTTCAAGTGTCAAATTAGTCCGTACAGATGGGAAAAAACTGAAGGTCATGACGATGGCAATCCACAACAGTCCAAAAGCGTTGCAGAAGATGCCAAATCCGCGCCCCAACGTCCAAGGACCATAGTGGATGGATGAAGGATTGTATATCTTCTTGTGCAGGATCAGGACTAGTTCGTCCGTCGTTAGCATGAAACAGGTCAGAATCGGGTGGACAGAGCTCTGAGGACCCCGCCTATTTTTAGGATAGATTTTCAAAGACACTTACTGATTGGTATGGTGTAACTGCCGAGATAGCCAGACACGACCAACGAGGCGACGGCATTGAAAGCAGCCGATGATCCAATGTTGATCAATCCCAGCAACAGTGTGATCAGAACAGACAGAGCGACCGAATACAATGGGAGCTTGGTTCGAGGCTCGACCTGAGAGATGAATCGAGATCCAGGAAGACCGTTATCGCGAGAAAAAGCCCACGTCATTCTGGATGCCGCAGCTAAAACCGCAATGGTGGCAAAAATCATCAACGACAGGACGATGGAGGTCAAGGCAGTCGCTCCACCATTCGATTTAACAGCCTGCTTGAAGATTTCGATAAAGGGGAACCCTGTGGCGCTTGAGAGCGCATTGTCGATGTTGCCGATACAGAACAGAATCGCAATCAGCATGGCGAAACCCATCATGCCATTGAGAGCGATGGATGCCACCAAAGACTGAGGCACCACCGTTGACGCATTTTTGATTTCCTCGCTCATGTGAATAGCGCCATCGGCTCCGATGAAGGCGAAAACGGTGGTGATGAGTCCCACGAAGAAGGAAGTCCCTTTGTCATATCCCCCATTGGCGAGATACTGGACAAATACGTCGTGCGCGGTGCCGTGAGGTGCCAGGTACACCAGCGTGATCAGCACTCCAAAAAACCCCACTATGTGGACGATCAGCACCGCCCCTTCGACCTTCGGGAGCTGCTTGGCGAGGTATGTGTTGAAGAGCATTGCCAGGAAGATGACAGAATACAGGAGAAGTGTCCCGTGCCATCTCTGGAAATCATAACTGGGGTAATTCAGAACGAGGAGGCCTTGGATGATGGTACCGCCGAGATAGGCCGCCGACGCGAGACAAGCCTGCCACGAGAGAACGGATTGCCAGCCCGTAATGAACGAAAGAAAGTTGCGGCAAGACTTTGGGGCAAAAAGGAACGTCCAGTGGTATTGTCCGCCAGCAGTCGGTGCCCTGTTTACAAAGTCGTCAATAGCCCCGAGGACCATGTGCGAATTTCTGGAGAAACTTACATTGAGACCATTTCAGCAAGTGAGGCAACGACCGTGAAGTATCCGACCCAACAGAAGAGATACCCATACACAAGGCCAGCTGGTCCTCCATCCGTCAATCCATACACGAAGACCGTCAACAGTCCTTCCCAGGTTATCATCAGGGTGCAGGAGAAACCGAGCATGCTCATGAAGCCAAAGTTACGCTGTTACGAAGTCAGTTGGACCGGTTTATCCGCGAATCTTGCATTGCAGTTTGCCATACCCTCAGTTCCTGGCGCTTTCCCAACTTGGCCATTTCCTGTTCATCTCTGTTGACTGATTTCTCACCATGTTGCTCGGAGGAAGAGGACCTAGAGTGATGGATCTCTGAGGCGAACTTCCCTCCGCTCTTCATGGCAAATGCGTCCGCCATATCGACCAGCGCTTGGGAATGCGTAGCACGTATTCGACAGATTAGCCTCTCTTCACCGATACTATCGTTCGCGCAGGCTGATAACAGCAAAGGAGCGGATGTGAAAATTCAAGTGAATGACAAAGTGCCTGGACCCTCGATAAAGGAGAGAAAATCACGGCTGGAACTCCCACGAGGCAAGACCCGCTTGAGATCAGAGAGTGAAAAGGGTTTTCGCCGGGCGATATAGGATTGTGGTTCGGCTAGAGGTCTACCTCGTGGTCTCCAGGCGAGGTACTCCGTACAAAACCTAGAGAGATATTCCGTCGGATACAAGTCCACGGTTAAACACTAAGAGGTTGATCAATTTGAAGTTCTCACCTGCATACAAGAAAAGGCCATCGTTCCTAGATGCCCTATCAACAAGGGACCTCGCGGCACTCGTGTTCCAATGCATCTTGGTGCGCTGATGTGGTGCGACGGTTCAACCAGGATTGCGAGACGGGGTAAAGGCGTCGCCATTGAACACGACAAGGTTCAAGTCCCACAGCCCTGTGTAACCAAGGGGTGTTGGGGCTTGCAGTAGCCTTGCCAGTAGCGCATGAGAACTCATGCACAGTCACATCGGGTGGGAAAGCTTTGTCAAGCAACCGCCTGGAGATCTTATCGTTCGGATGCATGAAGTTTGTTGCGGCGGCACCAGGTCCTCGACCCTTGTAAGAACTCGGGTTCCTGGTGGGCCTTTGCGCGGGTTCAATACAATTTTCTCATGTGAAGTCCGACACCTGATCGCCTTCACAAACACCCACAGGCGAAATGAGGAACGATGTTCACACGCTATGGCGGCACCTGATTGACCGAATCTGCATCCCTGATCGACACAGAGGCTACTCGTTTGGTCACGGTATATCCTACATATTCTTGGAAGAAGAAAAGCATTCTTGACGGATTGGCAGTCACAGAAAATACCTGGTGGAGTTGGTTGTTCTGGCAGTTGCGGCACAAGACCATCCGGAACCCCCACCAGAGCTCTCTCCCTTCAAGTTACGCACCTGGAGCTTCTGGGGTTTATGCGTTGAACGTTGCCTACTCAGTGCGAGTACTCCTGTAACGTGAGACGACCTGGGAACTTCTGAACGGAATTAGTGGAGCTACATGGTGTTGTCTAGGGTACTGCCACTTATTTCAGGGTTTGTCCCTGTGAACAGTGTCTGGCTGATGCAGTGATAAATGTGAAATTCGGGATGCGGTTCGTAAGATCCATTTCAGCAGGTATTGACATTTCCTGTTGCAGGATGATTACCGGAGGCCCGTTTCCTGGGATATTTGTGCAGATATGCTTTACAATTGGCGTTCAAGCAAAACAACAAACCCAAACATGGTCTGGAGTACCTGGATGTCCTTCGCGGCCATTATCATGGCTATTTTCTTTACTGCCTCTGCATATGTTGATCGCAGCCATGACTTGGCCCGTTGAATTTCGCCATTGGGATCGGTCACGTCCGGATCTGTTGGAGCAATTTCGCCTCCAGGGCGAGTTGCCAGCCAACAGCGTCTCGGCGAGCTGCTAGTTTCACGGTGCTTGCATCTGTCTTGAGCTTGGTCCTGATAAGCCCACCGACCCCTAACGGCAGAGGCTAAATACTCCGGAGAGAACAGGGCTTGAAGACGTAAGGACCAGCGCTGCACGTTAGCAACCATCTGCTTGGTGGCTTGTTCCTGCTCTGAAACAGGAAGGCAAATCGCTTCAGCTGCATCTGGGAGTGCGAACTTCGTCCGGCCTCTATCACCAATGCCAATTCCACATTTAGATTCTGCCCCCTCCAACGACGGAATTGTTGATCTCAAGTCCTACCAATGCCTCTTGATGTCTGCAAGGTTTTATGTCAAGGACACGAAACATTCGATACGCTTTCGGAGAAGCTCTCCGCTGTTTAAGATAGTGTCCTTGACGATTCATCGTCCACGAGGATGTTTGGACTGCTACCTCGTACAGGCCCTGGATGCCGCGGTGTGCTGGCCGGTCTAACCGCATAGCAGGCCCCGTGTGAGAATGTTGGAGCCACAGAGCTCTGCTCTACGCCAGCAGAGAAGGCCGTTATCACTCCACAACTTCGCAAAAGGAGCGGAGGGGCTGTTGTCAGCAAAACACGCTTTTGATGGAGACTGTGGGGGCACCGGACACTCACTAGGGGAGCACACGGAAGCGTTCGGGGAGAGATGATCGCCCGCCCTGGCGCCGATGGACACTGGATGCCCTTGGATAAAAGGAAATGCAAAGACATGGAGCTGCGAACTCACAGGCTCATTCGTGAACGGATCAAGGATGCTTTGCCCTTCAAGTCTCCACACCTCTGGGCCCTAAGCGCAGCCTAGAGCCTTACCTTAATCTGACCCTAAGTTACAGCTTGGGCTAAGCGAGCTCACCAGATAATGCCGCCTATCTGCAAGTCCACCAGGTGTGTTTGCTTCGAGGACCTCAGTGGTTGCTTCTCCTGGTCGCTGTGAGCCCGCGCTTGTGCTGAGTGCATATGCATCATCACTACTGTCGTTGTTTGTGCTGGCAGTGATGCAAGTCCGAATGGCGAAGCATGCTATCTGCATGCCTGACAGGCTTTCCAAGGCCCAACCACGAAGGCGCAATGGCACCCTTGTCTGGAAGAACCTGGCAGTTACAGAGACGACCTTCTTAGTTATCACATTTCATGTCGCATCGCGTCTACCTAACCATGTTTCTATCCTGCCCCAACTGCCGGAGAGTCGGCACTCCTCATTTGAAGGTCCCTTGCTTCCATGTTTGGTTCCTTGAAGTCGCTATCAGGTTGTCGCTATCAAGTTGTCACTGTCAGTACTCGTCGAAGTCTTGCACCTTGTGGATTCCATCTATGACTTTGAAGACTTTCAGAATACCTCGTCCAACTGTTCGCCCTTTTGAATGACACAGAAAGCCACCATGGCAGGAATTCACATCCTGCTCGCTCGCGTCCCATTGATCTCTGCCACCCACCGAGGCCCTGTGGTGAACTTGGTAGCATGGATTACGGTGGTGACGATGTGTCTGGCAGTGGCCACTGTCTTGGTCAGTAAGCTGGTGGTCTTAAGGAGACTGGCATGGAATGACTCAATTATTATTGCGGCAATGGTAAGTACTCAGCCCACTGGACATGTGACTGGGACGTGATCTGACTGTTTCGCAAAGGCATTTTCCATCGGATTCACTGTCGCAATCAACCAGCAAGTCAGCGGAGGACTGGGCTCTGAGAGCTCAACCTTGACAGATGACCAGTATGAGAAATTCCAAAAGGCCGGATATGCCTGGAACATCCTTTACATCGCTAGTCTTTCCTTCGGCAAGGTGTCGACATTGTCTTTGCTACTCGCGTTGTCACCGAACAAATCTTACCGTATCCCTATGCTGGCTACGGGCGGCTTGGTGGCAGCGTGGGCGGTGGCATCAATCATAGCCAGCGCATTCCAGTGCTCGCTCCCCCACCCATACCTTATTACAACCAACAAATGCTTCGGCCAGGAAAGTTTTTGGGACGCGGTCGGAGTCATCGACATTCTCATCGACGTGGCACTTATGGCTATACCGGTATGGCTGGTGTACAACCTCCAACTGCCCATGAAGAAGAAAATCGCCGTCTGTTTCGCCTTTTCGTTCCGCACCCTGGCCATCGCCTGCACGATCTGGCGTATCAGCGAAATGCACCGGTTCTTTGATCGCAGCGCGGACGTCACGTTCGAGAGCTGGCTGCCCACGATCGCGACTCTGCTAGAGGTCTTCTTCAGCGTCTTCGCAGCGTGCGTGCCGCATCTCCGGCCGTTCATGGAATCCATCCAGGCGGGCTATCTCTCTGGCGTGATCCAGGAGGGAGACGGACGGTTCGGTTACGGCAACGACAGCTACTTGATGGGCAAGATGGCTCAGAGCAAGGCCGGAACCTCGGCGATCCGAAGCCAGGCTCTGAAGAGCGAATTACGGGGTGAGAGCCTCGATCTCCCGCGCCAGGGGACCACCGTCGGGCAAATGAACGACTCGGCTGGTCATGGGATCGGGCAAGCTTTGACAAGTACCAACCGCATCGTAGTGAACAAAGTCTCTGCGGGGAGGCCGGAGAAGGAATTCAGTTCCGAGAGGCATCGCAGCGAAAGCATCACCTCAGACGGGGGCAGGAGCCATGGCAGTGACGGGAGCAAGGCCATGATCATCAAGACAACCAAGGAATGGAGTGTGAGTTATCAGGACGCTTGATCCCAGGGGGTCAAATTCTGTACTGGATTACTCTCTTTTCTATCTCAGCGGGATTTGTCTGGGATCTTGGGTGGCCCATCGGATGGGATAAGCTTGTACTTCTACATGAGGCTGGTGGTAGGACATACGGGTTTCGTTCTGACGACCTGGATATGAAGACAGGGTTGAAAAGGCACAAAGATACCAAAGGGGGTTTTTTTTGGCACAGCTACAGAAGGTTCCGGGAGGCGACTCTCAGAAGACCATACAATAGGATCATATCCCGCAACGAACATCACATCCTTATCCGCCTCTTATGGGCCTTGTCTTCCAATATCCAGATCGAAAAAACAAGCAGTTTACTGCATCCTCCCATTGGGGGTTTTCTCTAAGGAGTCTATGCGTAAATACCCATGTATCGGGCGGCGCGATTTTACAGATCGGTAAATCCTTCCAACGGGTTACAATACGAGCACGCAGGGATCTTCAAGGGATCCTTCGATCGGCGAGGTGCAGCCATGGGTGAGATTCCCACCTCTACCTAGGCAGGAACTCGTACCGGCACCTGCCAGGATGAGCCTGTTCCCACGTGTGTTGCGGCATCGCGGCATGCCCTGTTCTGCATACCAAGGACGACACCTAGTATACCTACCTCTGCCGCTAGCTAGTCCCCCGGCGACGCACTATTCCAGGCGCATACCGACCCGTCGCGCGGTCCGTTTCTAGAAATATCCATCCCCATCCCCATCCCGTCCATCATACAGGTCCAAACCTTTTAAGTCTCATAGGTATGATGTCCGGGTCTACAGCACCTAGTATTCCGTACTTATGGCAACCACCTGGACCGTAGCAGTCCCGCGACATGCATGGGTCGTTTCCGCCCAGCCCAGCCCTGGTCTTCCACGTCATGTCGACTAGACCAGGCAAAGCACGGAGTCCAGTGGCTAATTTAACGCCCGTGCGCTTGGCCGTTTCCGAGCCGGGGGCCAGGAGGGCGGGCAGGAAGGGAGAGAGAAACGCCTCGCTGCCCTCCCCTGTTCGTGCATGTCCCAAGAGACCCAACAACGAGTTCGTCGGGGAAACGGATGCCGATATGTTATTCCTTTGTACGAACTACTGATAAGGTGTTGGTTGTAGCGTGTGATAGACCCCGGTATCAGGGGCCAGCTTACATAGATTTCACATGCGCTATCTCGTTCCTGCGTGTACTAGGTAGGTAGGACAGACTTAATGAAAGAGGGGGGGTGTTGGCTTTTCCGTCGTGAAAAATGCAAGCAAGCATTTTCACGTCTCTTTTCGTGACTAGGGCCCCTAGGCTGAGTTTCGCCTGGGTTCCTATCTCGGTGACTACCTACCCAAGTACATAGGTACTTGTATGCTTCTCAAGTTGCAGTTAGCGCTGTGTGATATAGGCGGGCCTGTGGGCGAGTGGGGTGCCTTGTGGCTGGATAAGCTCCAAGATCTTGATAAGGCTATTGATTAACAATTTGCTCTACCTACCAATGCGAGAAGAGATACAAAGTATTTGTGGTGTTGTAGGTTACTTGCTCGTGGCGAAGCTCCTCATGCAGGTACGGCGCATGTCGTCGCCCCCTTTTCCAGGCGCGGAATGCAAGGAACCCGTTGAGAAGTTCCTTGGTGTTATGGGGCACTTGGGAGGCCTTTTTGCAGGTTTCGAGACCCCTCCCACCCAATGTCGATGGAGAATACTCCCGACACAGGCTTTGCATTCTTGCCCCCCCCGTGGCGGACAAAGGCGACCCTTGCTCCGCCTCCTCGACGATTCGGTTGTGAGACTTGTGGCGTGATTGTTTTGAAGCTTGTCGCAGCCATGATGGGACCGTCGGGTGCATGCGTGAGTAGAAGCTTCGCAAGGGAGGGGCTCCAAGCAATTTCTCCGAAGCTTTGTTGGGCCGAGACGTGTCCTTGCGCAGAATGTCAGGTCCATGTTTAACGGTATGAATGGTTCCACATCACGCGAGAGATGTGTCCCTAACGCTTGTTGGGAAAAGGAAACTTGTTTGAAGTCCTCGCGAATACTCCGTACAAACCACTGATGCATTGCTCTTCTTCCACAAGAGTAGGGTACCCAGGCACGGATGACCGGTGGCTCCCAATTGTACCCGATGAAAGCCGCGCGCACAATATTCGCAATCCCAGGATCAGGCTCTCCCGGCTAGTACCCTGTACATAGACACGAAACCCTACCATCAAAGGCGAAGAGGGGTTTATCACTGACCTCCTCCAGGCCAGACATCAAGTGCAATCAAGTACGAGCCAGTCGCCAATAGTGCCGACTGGCTTCTTGATTCTGCAAGTTGAAAAAAAAGCAAAGATGGTTCTTTCTTGTGAGGTGTTCATTCCAGTTCACTGGCCCAATCGGCCCTCCCATCTCACGCTTGTGCATTGTGGTATTGTCTTAACTCGCAACTCTCACCGAACTCTCCCTGCTACTCAAGAGAGAACACAGCCTGGCAGGAGAGGGATAAGATGCGGTAAGAATACCGTTGATGTGCGAAAGGAGCTCTTTCGTGTCGCAGGTTAAGTGCTTACCATCCTCCAACAAAACTCTGGCGCGGGGATGTGGAGGTTCTTGTCTCTGCGGGTCGCGCAGCGGAATCTCTCAGATCGTGATTGATTAGTGCTGATGTACCGTATGGATGCAGACGTTTCATCCATTCCTTGGTCGAACATCTAGTAAATCTTTATCCAAGGACGGAGTGCAGCTCAGGACCTCACCCATGAGCGGCAGTGTGTATGCACCCACTTTTCACTCAGAGGTTCCTTCAACTAGCGCATGCGCCCTCCTCATTCAAAGTCTCGGTGTAATCCTTCCCCTCTCCTTCTATCGTCTTCTCCAAAACCTTGCTGCTAGGCAAGAGTCGTGATGAAAATAGGGCGAGGGGGAGCCAAAAAAAATACGCGGACAAGAGCTCGGAAGGATATTTGATGGCGACGTCCACCGCGACATGCAAGGGAGGGACACTGTCATAGCAGAACTCCCTTCTTGATCGGAGTCGCTCCCACAAGGTCTGTTGTGACATTAGCGAGAATCCAAAACTCATCGCGCTTGGGAAAGGAGGACGTATAAGTATGAAGAAGCAAAAAGGCAGAGGCGAGAACGCGACGACCTGAAATATTTCGACTATTGCCAAGCTGGGCTATTGATTGGCGCCAAACTGGGTATAGCGTGAGCTGAGCGTCCCTACGCTAGCGCCTTGGCTCCGGAGCAGGCTCAACGATATTCCGTTGCTCAAGGCTTTGGGTACCAGGGGGAGAAGAAGGATAAGTGCATAAGTACTCGGTACAACCTTGACATACCGAGTACCGATCGTCATTTCCCTGAAAGACGTTCATGTTCAGTCAAAGCTGAACTTCATCTCCCAATGCCGTATACTTGCCTTTGAAAATAGTGGTGCTTGGCGTCGCAGGAGGTGCGGTGGTCACTCCTTGGAATGACAGGCGGCTTTTGCTATTGTTGAGCAATCTTCGACAATGTTTCCAATTCGAGAGTGCCCTCGTAGAAGGACTGTGCTCATAGAATCAAGAGCGATATCCGCAATGAACGTCTGTACATTATCTATCCGATAGCAGTCATAACTGCTCGGTATGAAGGTGTTAAGACACCACAATTGAGAATCGTAAAGAGTGCGTTAGATTCCAACGCATGCACGGCCGTTCCCCCTCTCCAGTGCAATGCTGCGGGTATCCATCTTCTTCCTTATTTGCTCCTTGTTGCTCCTCCACCCCAATCCTGGGGTCTCGACTCACTCGAGCACGACCCTCCAAACACTGATATTCTTCCCCTGTGTCCCTTGCAATTTTTCTTTCTTTTCTTGCTGTTTTGTCTCTGAAAAAGTTTGTTTCGACGTGACAACTTTACGCATGGTGCTCCGCGTCTTTTTCGGCCTCCTTCTCAGTATTTGTCTCGTCGCTGCTGCGTTGCTCGGCAGGCGTAATTTCACCGGTTTCTGCGGTATCATCGGTCCCAGCCTCGCGTCTGATCTTAGCTAGCTCTTCTGGCGGAGGGGCAACCCATTCGGCGCTCTTCCATGGCTTCACACCCAGGATATACATAGTATCGATCTCCTCGAGTGTGCGACCTTGGCCCTCAATAACGAAGAAATAGACCAGCGGAATAGCGACCAGATTGCAGCCCGCAAAGACGTAACCGTATAGGAAGTCGATGTCCCCAGTAATAAAAGGCGTGAAGAAGGCTATGAGGAAGTTCCACAGCCAGTTTGAGGCGGTCGACATTGCCATACTTTTTGCGCGGTACTTTGACGGATACATCTCCCCGCCTGAGCACGTCAGAGTCTGCATCCATGTGGCAAGAAATTGTTTAAAGAATGGGGTCGTGGGGGCAGAAAGTAGTGGAGACAGTGCCTTCTTCTCGAACACATGTACACCTCTTCCGTTCCACATTTTGAAGGCAGAAACAACTTACAAATCGTCCAAATTATGGGACCCCAAGTGGAGGCGAAGGCTGCGATAAAGAAGGATGCCATTACAATCATGGCCGTGCCGCTGGATTCGGTCTTCTGGGGGTCATGTTTATCGAGAGAGAAATGGCCGACATTGGCGAAGATCAAGAACATAAGAAACATCCAAACCGAGCCAATCATAAGTGACTTACGACGGCCATAGTGTTCGACGACATACAGACCGTAGAAAGTAGTTCCGAAGTTGATGCCATTCAAAATCACTGGAATTCTGTCAGCAATTGTATACCGCGGAATGAAGGAAGCGGGGTTTGCAAAGTCCAAAACTGTGGCAGACTTCAAAAGGCTTACTTTGTGTCTGCAAAGTGTCTGTTAGCCTGTACTGACAACATTCGAGTCCATCATAAAAGCCAGGTGTGGTTGGTAGTATTGAGGGACGAGAAAGGGGGGGCGTAAAGGAAGGGGGTAAGAGGGCGGCGGAAGGGTTTGGCACGTACCACGAAACTATTGTTTATTCCCGTAGCTTTGCTGTAGCCTCGGTTAGTTGATGATCAAGAAACAAGGACGATAATTTTAGTCAGCAAACCAAAAAAAATTGTTAAGAAAAAAAAAGAGATTGGTAAGAAAATGGTAACCCACAAAATCACGGTACCGTAGTAGAAGAAGTAGTTGGCACCGGTCAACTGTTGGAACATCTGCAACGTCATGCCGAGGGCGATTCGGTATGCCATCTTTGGGGCTCGGAACATACGGAACCATTCAGCAATTGGATTCCCATCGTTCACCTCAGCCCGGAGCTTGGCCTCAATTTCTTCCAACTCGATGTGGACACTGTAGTGGTTTGGTGGTGCTCCATAAACCTTTTCCATGATCTTTTTTGCTTCTTCTGTATGTCCATGGCGGTACAGATATCTAGGGGTATCCTGGAAGAGGAGGATACCTCCCCCCAGAATGAAGGCCCAGATGAAGGCTATTCCCATGGGGATCCTCCACGAGCCAGAGTTGCCCCTTTGATGCTCGTAGGTACCGAAGTTGATGCATGCAGCCAAGAAGATACCGAGGGTGATCTATTGGGTTGGTTACTAGAGTCATCGGCAAGGGAAATCAAAGGTATGCCGTACAAAGAGCTGGTAGGTACTTATCAGAGCCCCACGGATGTAACGGGGTGCAGTCTCAGCTGTAGAGAGTTAGCGAGGGTAAAGTGCTGTTTTTGACTAATCGCTTACCCATGTACATTGGAACGAGTAACGACAATGCACCGACACCAAGACCGGCCACCCAGCGGCCCATCATGATCTGATACCAATGATGATCCGACGAGATCATGACAATGTTGCCGATGCAGAAGACAACACACCAGAATGTCACGCTCAGCCTTCTGCCAATAAAGTCGGCAATGGGAGCAGCAATGAGAGCTCCAATCAATGTACCAATCGACAGCTATATCTGTTAGCCTGGCTCGTCAATGGAGTTACCAACTTACCATTGCCACGATAAGACCGGACCGCACGTTACTGAAATAGAACGTTCCATCACTGTGACGCAGACCAAATCTTCGCAGGAAGTCTGGCATGGCAAGAAAACCAGAAATTTGACCGGTATCGTAACCGAAGATGAATCCACCCATAGAGACGAGGATGCCCATCCAGAACGATGCCCATGTTACTCGGCGTAGAGGCGAGTAATCCAGGCCACCCAGCGACTTCCTTGCATCGGTAGCACCCGCAGCACTTGGATTGTACTTATCGAATCGTACCCAATTGGTGAGGCCGAGCGACTCTCGAGTCAACTCGAGCCTACGAAACTTGAAGTAGCTCATGTTTTCGCTTATGTTTAATCAACGCTTTGTGCTGAAGTCGGGTGAGATCAGCCAGAATATATAGACGGTGCAATCTTTCTTATAGACATTTGGTGGGTTCGCCTCAGTGAAATCCGTGCCTGAACACGTGGTTGAGGGTTGTCTTCCAAGGTTGCTTCGAGAAAAGCGGAGGAGTGCGGATGACCTGAGAATTGGGTATGGAGATGATGGTGGTATATCCAATGGCATAGCATGATGAGTGATTTCTGGAAGGGTTCTGTAAGCACGAGGCCACCTTCCTATTCATTGCCAGGCACATTAGCAATGGTTAAGGCGACTGCATGAGGGCAAAGACCTCTCAGACACTATTCCCCGACCCACGCAATCAACACTGAGACAGGCATTCCCATGCGCATGAGATGCCTGACATGGAGGCGCCCCGGCTACACAGTAGCAACCCAATATCGAGTCCTGTACAACGTCGGTCGTTAAAGGTCGGAATTTTATTATGCTAGGCTCCTACGAGGCTCTTCAGGTCTCCGGCCTCCGAGGCGATCAAAGCACAGAGGCAAAGCCAAGAGCCTACCGGAAGGCTCGGATATAGTTATGCAACTATAGCCCTTTGCGAGCAAATAGGACGTGGTCACTTGACCGATGACGAGATACCATGCTAGATCAAAACGGATTTTGAACAATCCCTCTCCATGTAACAGAATCTTGTGTTTTGCCCCGTGGGGGAGAGGCCTCGGCTAATACGATCGGCCATGTAAGCTGAGCAAGCAACGAGGGCGATCGACCTCGGTGGGTGCGAGGAATCAGCACTCAGAATCCTCCAGAAGCTCACAAATTGGGTGGTGTTTGACATGATGACAGGAGCTTTAGCCTCGCTACAACAGCAACTACCAAATATGCAATTTGGTGAGTTGGCGACGGCCAGAGAGATGCTGGCGTGAAGCCTCGTGAGGCGGCAGCTAACTTTCGGATTCCGGAGGGGTGGCGCTTCAGATCTCGACAATTCCGAGTGTAATGATGTCGGCGGCGTCCGCAAGCTTCCACTATCCGCTCGGCCAATTCAGCCACCGAGCTTAACTAGAGTCAGGTGATATCAAAAAGACTCTCACGCTGAATCGTGGTGTTTACAACCGCCGAAGTGGAGTCAGCACCACCCTCCCACCACGCCCTCTTCCCTGTTTGAGCCATCAGACCATCGGTGCCATCGTTGCCCCCTTGTTTTAGGGTCGCCATACAGTTCTTGCCTTTAAGGCTTAATTCAAGCATGTTAGCAGATTTCAGGAAGGCTTGCCGGGCCATGTTTTCATGATGCGTCGCAGGCATTTGTCGTGCATTAATAATGCGTCATTAACTGCAGCTTAGTATGCTAGTCACCTCTGAACCATTGCAAAACTCTCCAACCCCATGGGCAAATTTCTTTCTGGAAGGCTACGGCCTAATTCGAATTTTTCGAATGTCCCCTCGACAAGTGATCGCCATTTGACAAGGCCGATGTCTCCGTGTTTCGAAGAGTGCCCCTCATGCATTGTCAGCTCACCGTTATCCACGAGAAATGTAACGTCGACTGATGTGGAGAAATGCATTTGTGCCTGGTCAAATGCCGCTTCCCGGAAACTGTGGCCTAGTTAGACGCATTTTACATCTCGCCGGAATACGAACGCTTCCCTGGTCTCGTAATGCGGCCGTTTCTCCTAAATCGCGATCTGTATAAACACATACGGCCTCAGCACCGGACGGTCTTCACCAAATTAGGTTCTTTATGTTGACGGCAAGCCCCATTGACAAATAACTGGCAGACTCAAAGTCCTTCGCTGTCACAATGCAGGCCGCCTTCGTTGATGAGCATTCCGTTTACCTTGGAAATAGTCGCCCTCTGTCATTCATCCTATATTGTCAATTATATTCGATTTAGAGGACGCTTTGACGTTATTGAGCACTCTTGAGGCACGTATCGAGCGAGACTATCCCACTCAGTTTTGAATACTGCTTGACGGGTTGTCTTGCATCCTTGCAGACTTCCCCGGTCTTCTTTTTGGGGAGGATCACCTCGAACGCATATTTTGAGGCTTGAAAGTTCCTTTGGGCAAGCACAAGCTTTGAGAATGAGCGGTTTCAAGGAACCTGAGCATTATAGAAGCTAGGAAGGGGCTGTCAAGTATTACAGTTGACTCACCTCATCCAAAAGTCCGAATCTATCCCAGGCTTCCTGAACAATATGTAATTACATCTAATACCTTACCCAGAGAACCCTCCAAGAGTATGAAGAACAGATATGATTCCATATGCCCAATCGCCTTCACCCCTACCTTCCCCCGGCGGAGGGGGAGAGGAAGCTCACTGGGATATTTTCCGGTTAACTTGTGACGGTCAATTCGACCTCCAAAATCGGCTTTAGGGATCGGGGTCGAGGGATGACTATGCACAAAGGCAATATAGCTGCTCTGCAGAATTGGAGATATGGCAGAATAAAACATGGACCAACAGGCAGAAGCATGACTCATCCCACAGGTCAGAAGAAGATCGTCAAACACTTCTGCCTTCAAGCCACCGACAGCGACATTGGCGAAGAGATTCATGGTGTTCAAGAGCGGAAGACAGCCGTCAATCAGACCTTAATGGAGCCTCTCATCCGAAAACACAACGAGGGTTCCGACCTTCGGGATATCAACAAACCAAAGCTCCCACCTCGAGATTCGATAATGGCGATTGTGATGATGATGATGGAGACGTGGAAGATGAGGATCTGGTGGGCGAGAATCTGGAGGACTCGGCTTCGGACTGGGAAGGAGAGGAAGAGGACTCGGACATGCAAATGCAAGATGCTTCAGGTTTGATGCGAGAATGATAGCTTCAAGGACTCCATGCAGGTGCAGGATGGTTTGCTCTAGCGTCATGGGCAAGAAGTGCAATGTTCGAAGGCCTTAGGGCAGAGGCGTTTCAGGCGGCGTTAAGTCGGAACCTCCCCTAATGCGCCATTCTACCAATACACCCCCCTAATGCGCACTCAGTAATCCACGCCAACGATCTCGTTGACGTACCATTCTGTACAGAATGCCGATATATCGCTCATCCTGAGCCTCTCTGAGGTCTTTTTAGCCTCTTCAGTTCTATCTATTCTAACCCATTCCTCCTGAAGCGCGATTGCACACTCCTAAGCCCTTTTCATTTCCTCGATAGAAGCAAACGTTTTGTTTGAATCGATATTAACTCGTTTACGCTTTGTTATAGTCATGAATTGTAGTTCAACCGATAATTAACGTAATTAAAGCGATTGCTGCGTGTTTTGAAACCGTAGTGTTAGAGCTGCCGCTGTATCGCCTAACTAGGTTAGGCACCTAAGTAATAGATCCTTAAATAGTATGAACTAGACTAGGTAACGTAAGATATATATAATCGAGTGTTAAGGATCCCTACTAATTCTAACTAGATTAGGTGTTAAGGATCCCTACTAATCCTAACTAGGTTAGGGTTCTCAGTAATAATCCTAAGATAGCGTGAGCTAGTTAGGGAAGATATAAGGTATGAGCAGGGTTCCCTATTACTAAGAACTATATAGTTTAGTAGATAATATAAGTTAACTACGGAGAGAGTGTAACTACCTAGGGTAACGAAGATATATATATAATGCTTATGCTCTGTGCGCTCTATGCGCTCTATGCGCTCTGTCGATAGAGCTAATAGAGCTAATAGAGCTAATAGAGTATATTACGTAACCTAGTCTTATTCTTCCGTGAATCCTTCTAAGTATTTAGTGAATATAGTGAGTCGCGCTCGTATAACTCGTAACCGATCTCTCCTAAGACTATGTCTAACACTATCCTTCCTCCGGTTAGATCCTTATCCTAAGGATTCGTCTTAGCGATAATATAAAAGCGGAACGCTACTCAGCTTAAATTCATTTAAGTTTAAAGATGTCTTCTTCCCTCTTTTCTCTTTCTTCGTTCGGTGTCTCTAAATCTTCTAGCGTTCGTAAAACTTCCATTCGTTAGCGTACCTCTAAACGTTACCTCCTTACTTAGAAGATAAAGCGTCTTAGTTTCTAGACTATAGCTTCTTATTCTAATTACGCTAAGTCGTTCTCTATATATTTCCTTTTAAAGAGTAATTCCCGATATAATGAGTGCATCCGTAAGAATATAAAGTATAATAATTAATATTCTAAGAAAGAGTTCTAACCTTTAGAGAGAAAGAAGAAGAAGTTAGAGAACCGTTATCGGGAGGCGCGCGCGGGAATGGCCGAACGGGCCCGGCGCTTATTCGACCGAATAGCCTAAGTGCGAACGGAGGCTTCTAAGTTCGTAGCTAAGTTAGCTAAGCTAAAGCGTCGATTAATTAGTTATTAGCTATAGATAAAAGAATATATTCGCGCTCAAAGTAATATAGTAATTCGATAGTTCTAAGTATTAAATATCCTTAATCGAGAAGAGAGCTATATACCGAATGAACCTAAGCTATCGATAATTCATAGTGAGTTTATGTTACGGATTCGGCTAAACATCGGAAGGACGGACGCCTAATACATCGAAGAATAATCAGGCCACCAGCCAAGAGATACGACCCAGGGAGTGCATCCTTATTACTAGCACACTCCCCGCATAGAAGGCGCACTCTTCCCTCTCTCACGCTTTGAGTCGTGTATAGTATCGATCATATACTAATGGGATATCTTACATATACGCTTATCGTTAGATTCTGCCTACTTACTAAGAAATCCCTAATAGTTTACTTTTAACGACGAATAACTAAATACTTTATTAGCGTTAGAAATCACTTAGAGTAATTCTTCTTTATTTTTCTTAGAAGTTCCTTCGAAAGATTAGTTTCTAGTTTTTAGATATTTTCGTATTCGTCGTAACCTAACTATTTAATTAGATATTAGGGCTAGCCGCGCCTAATGCGTTTTCTAAGGACTTTCTTAATATTATATTTCTCGGGTACTATCTCCTTATCTAGCGAAAGTATTTAAATAATTTTAGCGTTCCGTAATACTAGTTTAAGAAGTACTTTAT